GGTTTGTTTTTTCTTTCCTTCTCCCCTGCTCCTCAGCTGTGCTCAGCGCTGCCCTAGAAGCCCTGGGGAGAAAAGGGAAAAGAGCTCAGGCTGCCTGGGAGGGCGGCAGGAGAGCCCAGCGCAGGGACACACTGAGCTGAGCCAGAGCCCCCCCGGGGAGCCCCCGGACCCCTCTGCTGCAATTTCATCAAGCGGCAGCTCCCGTTGTAACATCCACCCCCTGCTTTTATCCCGCCAGGCCAAAGCAGTCCTTGTTCCCACGGCTGTTTTAGCAGGTACAGATAAGGCCACAAAAAGCCCCCGGCAGCCCCAGGGAGCCCTGGAGCGGGGGAGGCGCTGGGCAGGCTGCAGCTCGGCGGACGTTTGCCTTCTATGGACATCTCCCTGCACGGCTGGAACGGCGCTGGCATGGGGAAGGGAAAGCACAAACACCCAAAAAAGTGCATGGTTGCCCTCCCAGAGGCAGAAGAGCTCATCTTCAAGACATGCCCATGCAGGCAAGGACTTGCCCTTCTCCTAGAAGGAGATGCCCCAAGCCCACTTGTGATCCTCAGCAGCATCCTAGAGGAGCCTGTGTCCTTCCAGGCAGGGCTGGAGAGCTGGCCAGGGAGGGGAAGGGGAGCACCAAGCCTGAAGCACCCCAGCCCAGCCCCGGGGAAAATTAAAATAAAAACAAAAAACCCCACTGAAAAAAAAACAAAAAAAAAAACAAAAAAAAAACCAACACACATCAGAGCACAGAAAAAGAGTCACAGCAGCCTCTGGGTATATTTTGTTGTTGTTGTTGCATTTCATATATTATCCAGTTTCACATTCTCATAGGATCAGCAATTATATAGCAACTTATTCTCAAATCTTTTAATACAAGCGAGACAGCCATGGTCATATAATACTTAAAGCACTTCAATACCAAGCAAGAAGATGCTAAAACAAAAATTGCACAATTTCTTGTTTACTATTGCCTGACTGAATCATTGTTACAGAAGACAACCCTTCTTTTTCAAGCTTTTAACTAAACATTAACTTATCTTACAGGATTACACTTTCTCTTTAATAATAATAATAATTAATTGCACACAAACACACAAGAAATTCTTTATGATGCATAAATATTTCCTTATTACACATGGTACAAAAATACTCGTACTTTTTTGTTGTTCGGTTTCCCATAAGGATGGCTAATTATTTGGCAGGACTGGATGCTCTCCAATCAGAAGGATGTGGAAAAAAAAAAGTAGTGAGATATTTTACAGCTGTTCTATATATAGAAGTCTGAAGAAGAAGAAAAATAATATAATAACCCTGACTTTAAAACCAGAAAAGAAGGGATGAGAACAGAAACCCAGTGCATTGTACTTGGGGGGAAAAAAAAAGAGAAAGCAAAAACCCCACATTTTTTAAATTTTTCTGGTCGTACTGGGAAGGGGAAGGAGGAGGTGGGAGAAGGGGTGAGACAAGGACAGTTTAGTATTTCTCAGAGCCAATTCTTCACCAAAGCAAGATGAAAACCTTGCTGGATCAATCCGTTGGGCCAAGACCTGTTGCTAACAGTTACACAAACGCTAGAACAAACAAACTTACACTCACACATACACAAGTTAAGTGTTTTAATTCATGCCAGAAAACATGCAAAACCCATCGCCTTTCGTTTCTTTCAGCCGAGCCACCGGGGCAGGGCGAGCCCGGGGAAGCCCAGGACCGAGGGTCTCGGCACAGCTGGATGGCGAAGCTCAGGCAGGGAGGATGTCCTGGGGCTGGAGGGAGGGCAGGAGGATGGAGGAGGAGGAGGGATGGAGGCGGCGACGGCAGGGGGGCCGCGGCGGCTTCAGAGTCCGGGGAGGGGGATGCTGGCAGCCCCGGGCCGGGCGCCTTGTCCGCTGGCCGCCAAGCAACCGAGAGGAGCCGGAGCGCTCGTCCCTGGCACATCCCTCCGTGGAGAGGCAGGGGGAGGAACACAAGCCAAGGAGAGAAGCTGCGGGAGAGGAGCAGAGGTGAGCGGGGCTGGCTGGACCCGCAGCCCTTTCCCCAGCCTGGGGATCGATGGGTCTCCCCGCACCCACCGGGATCTGGTCCCACCACCCATCAGCATCCCTGGGGGTGGGGGAATGTCCAATTGTTCTGCATCCACAGGAGGTTGAGCCCAAGCTCCCATCACTCCTCCCCACAAGAGGCCAAGGGTGAGCAAGACAAGGACCCAACTCCAAGAACATTTAATTACTTACTAATGAACTAACAAAACTGACGAGACTTCCATCCTTGCTGGGCAGCTTCAGAGGGCGGGTACCAGCGCATCTGGAAAAGAAAGCCACGCCAGCGGTTCATGATCCAGGATTATCTCAGCCAGAGCCCAAACCTCCAGCTCCTTCAGGTCACATTTGAGGTACACTGAATAGAGATGTCCCCAGCAGGTGAAAGGAGGCCCCCGGGTGAGCCCCAAATAGTCCTTGAGTAGCATCCCAACCTGGGGCTGCACCCTCCCAGTGCTACCTGGTAGGCCAGCCCCACACTGGCCAGCTCTGGTGGCTCAGACAAGGCCAGGCTCAGGCTCAGCAGGCACTGGGACCTGGCCAGGTCCTCCCTTAAGAAGCACAGCAGGACTCCACATGTCTAAGAAGGACCACCTCACCTCTGGGCTTGCCTCAACATCTCAAGTACTTTCTGTCTATTGGCATAACCAGAAGACAGCCCCCAAGTTCACACCCAACTCACTACCACATACAAAAGCACCACCACACCAGCTAGGAAAGCTCCTCACCCCCAAGCTCTAACCTTTACCACTGCACAAGTATGTCCAAGGAGGGGCTGTTTCCACCCTCCCCCAGCATCCTCCCACTCGCCCATGCACCTCAAGTTTACATCTTGCCCCCTGTTCAGGCTCAGACAGGGAAGAGGAAGCTCACTTTGGGCATACAGCTGCCCGAGCTGGTGGCCACTCTGCCCTCAGCCAGCAGAAGGAGGCATCTCAAGACCACACATTTAAATCAGACCTCTACATGACATGCACAGGGTAAGAACTGGGTCATCCATCACAGAAGAGACCCACGAAGTTTTCTGAGCCACAACCCAACCATCAGGAGAGGCTCCAGGCAGCCCACATCACAGGAAAAACTTGGTAGAGCAAGACTTGGAGGATTCCCTGGCAGGTTGCTGCTGCCACATCTACTGCTCAGGCCTGCTCCTTGCTGAGGAAGGACTGCTGGATAGGGAACCAACAAGCAGATGTGGGAACAGGAACTGCACAGACACTGTCCGGCCTGTCAGTAGATGCAGCAATGTCCAGTAGAACAGCATTGGAAATCCAGATGCTCCTGGTTGGTCTGCAAGGCTGGTACATCAGGCTGGGCTGAGTGAGCAGCTTCATGCCTGAGAGCAGCAGGAGATGAGTCTGTGCCACTTGACTGAGCACAGACCCAGCAGCAGGAGCTGCTGGTGGAGCTGGGTTGTGCTGCTGCTTCAAAGGGAGCTGAGACAACAGCCATCCCTGCTCTCCTCCTGCCCCAGCTGATGGGAGGAGAGGATGGGCATCAAGAGCAGCAGGCACATTCAGGGCTCTGGGTAGCAGCAGAATTGTGGACTTGGCTTTAAGACGGGTAGAAAAGAGGCAGAAACCCTCCTAGAGCCCAGCATGAACTGTTCCCTTGCCAGACCACCCTGGCAAGGTTGTCCCCTTACCTGAACAAGCCTGGCTAGATGCTGCCCTCCCAAGCACATGCACCACTCCAGGGCCAGAGGGGAAAAATAGTCTTTCCAGAGCAGCTCCAACTCCACCAAGAGGAACCCTTAGCTGAGGACAGGCAGACTTTCTTGAAGCAACATCCCAGGTCAGTTGGGCAAAGGCAGAGCTGCAGCCAAAGCATCTAGTTTGGCAGAGGCTTTGGGACTCATCTAACCATGACACCACTGAGGTGCTGCTGTCACAGCAGCACTGCCAACCTCTGCCAGGGCTCTTGCTAGAGACATGTCAAGGAAGCCACTCCAGGTTGAGAGGACACCTGGCAATGAAGGGGAACAGGAGGTACTGGATGGCACACACAAGCCTTGCTGCAAAGTTACCCAGGAGTGGAGGTGCAGATCTGTGTCCCCAGCTGCATGAGACCTCCAGAAGCTGCACATGGCTTTTCAGAAGAGACAAAGCAGAAGAAAAGAGCACTCAGAAACTCAATGAAAGCCCTTGGATTACTCTCCAAGCTCAGCACATCCTCAGAGGGTCCCTTCAAGCCCCTGTAAGAAGCAGAAGTCTGACACTCATAGGTGCAAAGCCAGAGGCTTTGTGGTCATTTCTTTCCACAGAGGCAGGCAGCAAACAGCCAAGACCTCAGCAGCTTGGCCTCCTCAGAGCAACTGAGGGGACAACAAGCACATACCTCCCAGAAAGCACAGCTGCCTGCCACGGCCATATCCTCCCTCCACCATCACAAGGGCTGCAATGCCACGAACTGAGGTCCCTGAGTTCATGCTTGAGGCTGTTCATGTCCCTCCTCTTGTGATGACTTCTACAAGGGGGAGGCCTGGAGTTTGCAGAGACTCTCTTCTAGCAGGAACCTCTCATCAAGTCTCATCTGCTGGATGCCAGGCTCCTGTCTGTAGGTCACACTCCTTCCAGGCACCTTCACAAGGCAAGTGGGTGCCACCAACTCAGCTCCCAGCTGGCTCCATGACAAGCAGCCAGGGACATCCCTTGGATGGAGGGAATTGAGGACATGAGCATTATTACCAAGACCCTCTTCCCCAGTGAGGGGTCCCACCTAGTGCCATGACCAACATGCCATCTTGGTGCCACACAGACTGTGCCTTCACTTCTCCAGTTGCCTGTGGGAAGGACACAGCTCAGCTGCATCCTTGCTGCCCAGCCTGGGGCCACCACAATGCTCTGGGCATGGTCATCTCCTTGCACTGACATCGGCAGGAAGACACACAGCCCAGCACCACTGATACCTCATGGGGTCACCACAGGGACCAGTGCTACTGGCTCCTCCCAGCCCTGTCACCAGGAGGTGCTTGCTCAGCAGTCACATCCCAGCTGTCCTCCTCGGTGGCCAAGGACCTCCCCTCCAACACCCCTCCCCTCAACAGCTGGAAGTAGCTTCCTCTTGCCCAGCAGCAACAGGACACTCCCCTGCATCCCTTAACCCTGAGATGTCTCCATGCCACACTGTGCTCAGAGCTGGCACAGAAGTCACCTCCATGCACAACAGCCAGTCCTGACCCCACTTCTCAAGCTCTCCATCCTCTCCTCAGAGGGTCTGAGCCCCCTTCTGCCCCATGGACACCCCATCCCAAGCCTGGGATGCCCTCCAGCTTCAAAATAAATCCTGCTTTTCTCCTAAACACACACTGGTCCTGGCTCTGGCACTAACAAACCTCCACCTTTGATGGGACTGCCTCTCCTTGCCCTCCTCCTGTAGGTCTCCAATGCTTGTACACACAAACCCAATGCCAGCAGCACAGCCCGGCAGCAGACGGGCAGGAGCTCATGCAGATGTAATGACCCTGGGTGCAGGCCAAGGCCCTGACATGCTGAGGGAACGAGCTGCGAGGTCTTTGAGCCCAAAGAAGAGTTAAGGGCTTGCTGGGATGAGGCAGGAACAGCCCCTCACTAGGAGGGATGCTTGTGAAACCAGGGGGAAGCACTAGAAGAACCAGATGGGAGGCAGCAGCTAGCCAAGAGGACATGCTCTTCAAGACAGTGGCACCCAGCAGGACAGCTATCTCTTCACATCAGAGTGTCTCAGGCACCTTAGTTTTGCCAAAGAGTAGAGACTCTGCAAAGGGAGAGGGGGGGATGGGACTCCAAAAACCATCTGGAAAAGGAGACCAGCACCAGAAGAGACTGCATCTCTTCTCTTGTCTCATGAGGACTGCAACCCAGAGCACTTCCCTGGAGGGAGCAAATTTCTAGGAGGGCTTTCAGAAGATCTGCTCTCTCTCAAAACACTACACAGCTGCCAAAGAGGAAGCTGAGAAAGAGTGGAGTCATCCAACAACAGGCCAGGAAAGTGGAGCAAGGGAGACTTTTACTGGAACAGATACAGTTGTTTCTGGAGTCACATTAGCTCACAGCTAGAAAGGAGTCTGGCCACACCACTGCAAACATCTCCTGCTTGCTCACCTGTAGGAAGAGGCACCAGCCAGCTGCAGCCAGCCTCGTACCACCACATTCAACATCTGTCCCAGAACACAGCTGGAAAAGAGAAATCTGTGCCACTTTCTGGAGCCCAGGTGGAACACCCAGAAGTGAAGAGCCTCCCCTGTGCTGCAGCTACACAAAAATCACCAAGAAATTATCAGTGGGACAGATAAGCAGCTCATCGGTTCCTCACTCTCCTTGTCAGGTCCTTTGTTGCCTCTCCCAGTTACCCTCAGAATTAAAAAGTCCTTGTCTTGCCAGTTGTTCTCATGGATGGACAGCAAGTCCTTCAGCAGGGTAAAGAGGAAAGGGAAGAAAGGATTGAATACACAGCTCCATCCTCAAGTCACCTCCAGCTTGAATGACTGGCCTTTCCTCCTCAGTTACTGCCAGGTCTATCTTTGCTCTGCAGTCAGCATCTGGGTGGTGGAGGCACCATCCCTGGATGTGTTCAAGGAAAAGCTGGATGTGGCACTTAGTGCCATGGTCTGGCTGATGTGGTGGTGTTGGGTCATAGGCTGGACTTTATGATCTTGGAGGTTTTTTCCAGCTTTGGTGATTCTGTGATCCCACAGAGCTCAGAGCTGTCCCCACAACTGGGACAAACCCAGTCACCTCCACAGGCACCAGAAAGGCTCCCAGTGCAGGCAGAGACAAAACCCTTCATTGTGCCCCTGGGAGCTGATAGGACCTCAGCCAGCACATCCAAGAGCTGCATTTAGTTACCAGCTACTGACATGCCAAGTGTCATCTCCAGTTGGGCTGCTGGGACCTGCTTGCTCCAGGAAGCCATCAACATGGTGGCTTCATGGTCACCACTTCCCCCAGGCTGCAGGTCACTGGGTGCAAGCCATGGGCAGAGCAAGAGCTACTCTGCTCCAGATGGAAACAGCTGATAGGAACACGACTGCAAGGACAGCCTGCAAAGGGCACCCACAAGGCACTAACATCATCCACTTGTGCTCTCTGGACACATACTTCCAGTCTCAGCAGCAGAGAGTTCACCCAAACCACCCATTTCCAGGATCCTTCAGGGGGCTGGGTTGAGGAGACTAATGTCCAAATGCTGCACAAGAACCAAGCAGCTCAGCCCACCACCAAGAACATCTCCCTGCAGCTCAAGCAAGTCCACACTTCTCCCCAGGCAGCTACAGCAGGGGAGAGCTGGGGAACCAAAACATCTAACACCATGGTGAAGAGCACCCAGATGACAGGTGCTGGTCCATCCTGTTGCTTAGAAGGGTCACCTCAACAGGTCCATCCTTTGCCTTGTGCCCCTCTGGGCCTTGGGGCACCCTGTGCTACAGCTGGTAGGGACATACCCATCTTGCAGACCTCAGCCAACAAGTGTTTTCCTTTCCCCAGAGCAGAAGCCAATTTTGCTTCTATCTGGCTTAAGCCAGCCACGGAGGGCCAGTGCTGGCCATAGGAAGTCTCCTAACATGACCTCA